CTACAATAGGCTTACCAAATAAATCTGACTATGATAATTATAATACACAGGAAGAATATAATTCAGCCCACATTCTTTTAATTTTGGGCTTTGCAGATGTAACAGGAAGAAAAAAATAGTTCAGTATTGAAGTTCAGATACTTTAATCAGTAAACTCAGCAGATATGACTCTGAATACACACAGGGAGCATATCTTTTCAGAAAGAAGGTGTCATTTTATATAGTCATTTGTCAGAGTAGAAACACACTTTAAAGTACCAGTTATTTCACAACCTAATTCTAAGGATTAACTACACTGTGAGGTAACACTAAATTGCGCTTCTCAGCTCCCCATATTTAATACTTCAATGCATGCATCATCCTCCATGTTCCTAATTAATTTTACTAATCCCATGGTTACTGAGTTCAGAAATTTGAACAAGTAAAAAATATCAATTGAAGGAAAATCCAAATGGGAAAAAAAACGTGAATTCAGAACTGCGGCCTTCAGATACTAAAGAAAGCATGTTAATAGCATCTGCCTGGCATGAATTTTACTCTTTCTGTTGTATTATTATTATGAATTTTATCACTTCATAGTTAACCTTTATGGCTTTTTATTAGTTTTTAGGTTTTGTTAAAGACAGTGATTTGAGAGTAGACAAATATGTGAATATAAATTGATTTTATGCAATATACAAAACAAGAATTTTATTGATATAAAGGGCTTCATTATTTGTAGAATTACTCTGAAATTATTTTGGAACAGCAAGTACTCTCTCTGGACTATATTAAAATTTCATGCCTAAATGCAACTGAGCATTATTTTTTATGTGAGTTCTTTGTTTTGTGCTGCAGTATAAAAGAAATCTGTTGGAAGTAAATATCAGGGGAGTACAAATGCAGATTAAAGCTTCAGGAAGCAAGATGTAAGTGTGAAAGATGATAGAATGATCATGTGGGAGGAAATAGCTGTAGCTTTTTTCTCTCCTTCATTCCTACTCATAATTATGGTTAAGAGCAAGAACCTTAGCCAGTTACTGCAGCATTTGCAGATAATCATGGAAAATTGTGGTGGTAAATTATATACATTCAGACATTTTGGCAGACTCAGGAATCTTACCGATCTTGATACATAGGAACAATGTCGATATCTAGAGATACAACTTTGTCTCCAGCATAGTTTCCTTTAATATTAAAAACAGATTACTGACAATGTCTATATTTAGGGTTAAATCCTGACTTCAAGGCATATCCCATTTAATAGGGGCTGGCTGGAGTTCAACTCCAGCCACATGTATTTACTGGGAATGTCAAAATGATGGTATCTTCACTCTACCCTCAACTGCCATTTTGAGTGTGTTATGTCTGCCTTATAGCTGCTCCACCTTCCATGGCTGTTATCACGCCCTCTTTTATATGGTGGAATGGCCATTGCAATCAAATTGGTAAGCCTGGAATCTTCAAAAGTATGTTGCAATAACTGTGCTCTCATTGAAGTCTGAGGAAGGTTTGCTGCTGACTTTTGTGGCAGAAAAGAGACACAAGTGCTGAGCACTTTTGGAAATCCCACCCAGAAATGGAATGTTGATGGATACTACCTAGCTGTCATTACGTTGGATGGAGGTACTGTCTAGGCATGTTGCAAAGGAAAATTAATGGAAGCACATGCAATGTAGAGACTAAGTTAGAAATTCTTTACGCCATTTATGCTTCTCAACACAATTTACTGCAAATCCACTTTTGGCCCAGAAACCCAGTATTCTTTGAGAGAAAGTTCATGATTGTTTTGAACCTGGAGTTGATGTTCACTTGTATTATCTGCCTACCTGAGGAAAGGTGGCAGTCCTAGAGCCTTTAAATGGCCATGTATAGGTAACAGGGCTTAGTAGTACCACATGCTTTCTGCGTGGATCTTTTTCAATTTTGTGTATGACTGATTGAGAACAGACAGTTGGAAATCTTAATGCAGTACTGCAGTCTTGCAGAAATGATTTGAGTCACAAAATAGTAACTTTGGCTTGGAAACACAAAAGGAATTAGAATTTATTTTCCTGAACAGCACAGCACCTAACTCAGGCACCTAGAAAATCACTGGAATTTGCAAAGCCTGAGTTTGGCCTCCAAGCTGTCTAGAAAATGAATTGAGGGGGGAGAGAGAGTCACCTTCACAAAAATCAGAATTCTAGGCAGGGAGACACTTAAACTAATCAGTGGGAGATGCTGATCAGAGGCACGTATGACCCTCTTGCAGAGACCATAGAATCATAGAAGACTATGGTTGGAACAGACTCAGGAAGTCATCTAAGCAGGAGGTCTGCTTAGATGAGGCCCTAAATCTGGACTTCTTCAAGGTGGTGATTTTTGAAGTGAAGCAACAGCTTCAACAGAAGAGCTTGAAAAGAAACCCACATCTGAATACCCCATAGCAATTATTTCCTTCTTCCCCTAGAGGCAGAGGGGAGTCTGGAACTGGGGGGGGGGGGAGTTATTCCACATCCGAGATGAGTGTCTTCACCCCTAGGCTTACAGTTATAACTGAGGTCCTCCTCCCATCCCGCAGCTGTGTGAAGTTGTGTGAAGTTGCCTAAGTGGCCTTACCTTGTAGGTGTGCTCAGAGGGCAACAACTGGCCCTTCGTGTCACTTAGGTAATGCTAGTATTCTTCTGATTTCTGAATTGCTCTGGGGCTTTGTCAGGAGGGAGACATCTGTGTGCCTAGAGAGAGGCAGAAACATAAGCATTCTGGGAACTTTCACTGCAAAAATCTAGATGTCTACCATGTTCAGCATGAGTTTTATGTATCATAGAGATGTCAAAACTGGGATTAGGATGCTTTAGCACCTGATTTAAGCACCTAACTATTTTTGTGTTTCTGGACCTTTGTAGCTTAGACATGTGCCTCTGGGTGGTGATCACTTTTGGAGGCCATACTGCATATTAAATTGAAGCTGAAGGTATGAGTTCAACTCTCAGCCACATTGTTCCCACAATAGAGATGATAAGATTCTCAGGATGATATAACTGGCAAGCATCAGAAAGCAGTTCTGTACGGCTGTCAGTTGTCTTCATAGTTCTGATAAGGTTGAAGAGCTGCTGCTGCAAGAGTCTGTTCTTAATATCCAAAGATTTTAAAGTCCAGAGAGGTCATTCAGATCATCTACTCCAGCCCTCTGTATAACAAAGCCCATAGAATTACCCCAAAATAATTTCTAGAGCAGATATTTTAGAAAAATAGCCAGACTTGATTTGGATATTGTAAGTGATAGAGAATCTGCCCTGACCCTTGGTTAATTGTTCCAGTGGTTAATTTATACTTTATTTCCAGCCTGAATCTGTTTAGCTTCAACTTCCAGCCACTGAAGTATGCTATACCTTCCTTTGGTAGATTGAAGAGCCCATTACTAAATATTTCTTCTCCTTGTAATACGAGATAGGGTTAGGGTTAGAGTTAGAGTTTGGGTAATAAAAAAGGCAACCCACCAGGGTTAGTCCCTGGTGGTCTGCCACCACTATGATTAGCTGCATCTCTGCAGGGCTACGTCTACACTGCAGGCTTCTTGCTCAAGAACTTTTTGCAGAAGAGATCTTCCGCAAAAAGTTCTGGAGCAAGACTGCATCCCCAATGCCATGTGCTTGTGTGCAAGAGAGCATCCACACTGCCATGGACACTCTTGTGCAAGAAAGCTCTGATGTCCATTCACAGAATGGCCATCAGAGCATCTGTGCTTTTTCCGATAGGGGTTTCTTACGCAAGAAACCCCTGTTGTCCATTCACAAGAGCTCTTACACAAAAAGGCTTATTCCTCGTAGAAAGAGAAATAACTCTTGCGCAGAAAGCCCTGTCTTCTAACAATCTACTGTACTTTTTCTTGTGCAAAAATGCGCTTGTAGTGTGGACACTCAGCGAATTTTTGCGCAAAAACGGGACGTAGCCCAGGTGTCGGGTTACTGCATCTCTCGTTAGCTGTGAATCACCATGCGTGGCCCGTGTGAGCAGCGGGAAGCGGCATGGACCGGGACACTGCTTCCCGCCACTCACATTAGCCACAAACGGCAATTCGCAGTCAATAAGAGTTGCAGTCGCCCGATACCTGCAGAGGTTCAAGTAGGGGCCCACCAGCGATTAACTCTGTGGATCGGATTCGGCCTATGGGCTGGAATTTGCCCATCTCTGACTTAGTCTGTCACCAAGTCACTCCTTAACCTTCTCTTTCAGCTAAATAGATTGAGTATCCTGAATCTGTCACTAAAAGGCTTGTTTTCTACTCCTTTAATCATTCTTGTGGCTGCACTTTGAACTCTCTCCAATTTGTCAACATCCTTCTTGAATTGTGAATTCTAGAACTGGATGCAATATTCCAGCAGCAGTTGTACCAATGCCAAATACAGAGGTAAATTAACCTCTCTATTTCTACTTGATATTCCTGTTTATGCATCCCAGAATATTATTAGCTCTTTTGGCCACCGCATCACATTGAGACCTTATGTTCAACTGATTACTCACTATGGCCCCTGTGACTGAATGTATCCCTACATTGACACCCTGCACATTGTTGTAATAATCTCCATACAAAAAAATATGTCTTATAAGGTATCATTTGAAAACTATTAATTCACTAGTCAATATGATCAGGATGAAATGTGTGTAGTAGCATTATATATAAAGTTATAAACAGAAGCTGAAACTATGTCTGAAATGTGCTTACCAGACAAGTCTGGCTAAACCAGTTCCTCAAAGATAGAAGACAAGCTGATGCCTCTAGCCAGGTGTCATCAAAGTTGATGGTAAATCACCTATCAAATAGCCTTTTTTTCTCAAGATCGGGAGGAACAAATAGATCATGTAACAACATCATGGAACCTCTAATGCCCCCAGACTCTTTATCTCTGTCCTTAATGGAAATGAGCTTCCTCAAAAGATATCCCTCAGGAAAATGTACATCCAGAAGATTAGTGAACCATAAAAGAGAGGTGCAAAGCCACCTCTGTTTATCCATCTTGCTCTCTCTTTCATTTAAGGAAGACAAAAGAAACAGCTATTGGACTTTGGGTGCAGATCCTGGCCTGAGAACTTGGTCAGCAATCTTACAGGAAACGTGGTAAGGGATTTCACCTTGAACCAAGTCTTGTTCACTAATCTACAGTAAAGGGAAGAGTTTTATCTTTATTTTTCTGTCCTTAACGTCTTGTGCTCACTTAAAGTCTCTCTCTTTGTAGTAAAATAAACTTGTTTTTTCTTTAAGCAAAATTAATCCTGTGTTGTGAATTGTTTGAGCTTTGGACTAGCAAAGTGTAGTATGTTTTTCCCTGACAGTGGCAACAAACCTAAAATATCTGGACAGTGCAGGAGAGGCTGGACAGTGCAAAACACATGTCTGCATGGAAATTCAGGACTAGGAGTTTTTTGGGAGTCACCCCACAAGTATAGTAACCAAGGCTGCTGGAAGCCAGTGTATAGCTGGAATGAGCTGACAAGCTGCTGAGGTCGGAGTTGCTGAACCAGAGCTAAAGTTATCCATCAACAGACTCCCTCAGCATAACCTTCATGCTGACAGCCTGATTGTGAGCAACCCACACTGGAAGCTACAACAGCAAGGTATTATGGGGCACCCAAAATTGTGGGACAGGATTGATGAAGCACCTCACTGGCCTGGATTGCACCCTGGAATGTTACAGCCCCCAAGTCTTTTTCAGAGTCACTGCTTCTCAGGATAGAGTTCCCCATTCTTTAAGCATGGCTAATGGTCTTTGTTCACAGATATATACATTCAGCCATATTATAACATATATCATTTGCTTGTGCCCAGTTTACCAAGTGACCTACATCACTCTGAAACAGTGACCTCTCCTCTTCATTATTTACCATATCACTGAAAGTTTGAAGAAATATTTTCTTCCACCTCATTAAGAAAGATATTAAATGGCACAGGACCAAGAACTAATTCCTGCAGGACCCAAGTCGAAGCAAACGCTCTTGATGATAATCCCCTATTTACAGTTACATTTTGAAACCTAGCTGTTAGCCAATTTTTCATCCTTTTAATGCATGCAATGTTAATTTTATACTGTTTTTTAATAAAAATGTCATGTGGTTCCAAGTCAAATGCCCTACAGATATCTCTCTGCTTCCTTCATGCTATTACCTTTTTCAACCAATCTTTATTCTCATCAAAAAATATTTCAAGTTAGTTTGACTGGATCTAGTCTATAGGCAGATAATGCTCATCAGTGTTCACACACATTTCTTACACATAAAGGGCAGCATAGATCCGAGAGAGAGACTTAAATTCCATTTCTGTCACATTTTGCCTTTTTCACCAGAAACATTGGGTCTTTCCTGCACCTCCTTTAAAACTGTACTAAATACAGTTTGTATTTGAAGGCTTTGTGGTGGTATTGAAATGGCTGTTTTGATATAACATCTTTATCGTGACCCTTCCATTCTTCTGAAAACATAGCTACAAGCTTATCTTTACAAAAGCCTTGAAAAGTTCTTTTTGGAGCTTGTCTTTTTAAAATAAATGTCAGTTACTGAAGCAAAAAAGATAGGCTATTTCATTAATGGGGAGATGAATGAAGAAGAAATGTATTATTAACACCAGAATATTTAAACCTGGGAAGAGATCATTTATTTCAGACATCTTTAGACATTCTGCTAATGCTTCCATTTTGTTAATGATGAATTCACTTCATTTAAAGAAAAATCTAATGGAATTTGGTAAATTTTCAGTGTAATGTGAAATCTTTCTCCGTTCACAGTATATGGGTATTCTGTCCCCACTGTCACTGAAGGTTAATAATGCTGTCTCTCACCTTCATTGTGCTACAGAATGTAGCTTGGAACAGAAAATAATAGCGCAACTAAAGCAATTTTTACTTACCAAGTATTTAGTTTTATTTGAGTGGTTTTCTTCCTAAAATACATAAGAAGATAAGAATGGCCATACTGGGTCAAACCAAAGGTCCATCTAGCCCAGTATCCTGTCTTCCAACAGTGGGATATTGCCGGTGCCCCAGAGACTGTGAACAGAACAGAGAATCATCAAGTGATCCCTCTCCTAACATCCATTTCCAGCGACAAACAGGGGCTAGGAACACCATTCCTACCCAATCAGTCTTGATGGACCTAAGTATTGATGGGCCTAACCTCCATGAGGTTCTTTTTTTAACCCTGTTAAAGTCCCGGTCTTCACAACATACTCTAGCAAGGAGTTCCACAGGTTGACTATGTGCTGTGTGAAGAGAAACTTCATTTTTTTCATTTCAAACCTGCTACCTATTAATTTAATTTAGTGATCTCTAGTTCTTTGAATGTGTATGGAAATTATGTTCAAAGCTGATTGTAATTACTATGGTGAACATATTTGAGGTGCTGAACAGATCATTGAACTGTACGTATCATGCATAATCTAGAAGCAAACTTCCTACATTTAATGCTGATTAAAGAACCATTTCCTTCACTATAGCTGCAGCACAATCATTGAAGAAATGTTCAAAATTATTTGTCACCATTTTATAACCACAAGCCATAACAGAACATTAAAAAAAAAAGTTTCAGCCATTTTAATTTGTAAGTGGGTAGTAAATAAATACAGTTGTTACTTTGTAGATCACTTTATTTACTCCTTTAAATTTTCATTGATATTGATGATGATCAGAGTTAGTCTAGATCAGATGCAATATTTTTAAATTGCCAAAGATCTCAAACTACTTTGAAAAGCTTCATATTAAGGACAGGAAGAAAAACAAAATAGACACTTTCCAGTAAGTCTTTCACTGGTCAAGGTGCTATGCTCAACATGTCTGCACTCTTCACCCTTTGGCTAAGTTTAGACTGCAAGCCTCTTTCGAAAAAGAGTGTCTAGACTGCAACCTGGCAGTCTGGATACTCTCTTTCGAAAAAGCACAGTTTGCACTACATAGTGCCTTTTTTTCGAAAGAGCACTTTCAAAAAAAAGGCATTATTCCTCATAAAACGAGGTTTTCTGTGGTTGAAAAAATTGCTGCATTCCTTCGATTTACTTTTGAAAGAACATGGCAGCAGTCTAGACGCAGGAGAAGTTTTTTCTAAAAAAGATCACTTTTTTTCGAAAAAACCCTGTAGTCCTGACACGCCCTTTCTGAAAAAAACCCTGTAGTCTAGACACGCCCTTTCTGAGTTTAGCTTGGATGCAAAGGAGCAAACAAAGACAAGGTAGGCCTGCTTACCTCAAAGCTCCTGCCTTGAGAACTAGTGCCAATTCTATGTCAACAGGACTAGAGGTGCTCCACCAGATCCTTTATCTGCATCTGTGCTGAACCCATACTGTACCCCATTCTGAGACCTGATATGCCCACAGCGTAGAGAGCAGAAAACCATAGAAACCTGACAGATTTAGACTCTAGTCTGCACATCCTTAAGGAATGTCAAAAGGTGATGTACTTTGATGAGTTTCACACTCAATGAAACCTGAAACTGACAAGTTTCACCTCCTTGTGTGGGGAGAGTTTCCACTGTGAGCATTTCGCACATCTCTAATTGTCATGTCTTGAAAGGATAAAAAAAGTTTTCCCCAAACTATTAGAAGAGGTTCAAGTTTCTTTTCAGGAACACTTTAGAGCAGGTTAAGCAGAATTCTAATGAGGTCAACATCCTTCCAAATGATACTGTACTCCTTTGATTTTCCCATTTATTATCCAAAGATTTCAGGTTCAGTTTACATGTGTATGGAAGGGGGAAATGCTGCCTCTGCAGCATATTCCCTCTTCCTCTTCAGCACTATGGATGGGGAGGAGATAAGGTTAAATCATGGATTTAATGCCTTCCCATAGGTTACATCAATTCTATAAGAATTTCCAGGGCCTCCTCCCATCTGATTATGTCCCTTACGTTTTGTCTACATTGCCACTTGAACAACAAAAGTTTTGTCATTCACAGGTGCTTAAAAAGCCCCCTCTCCCAAAAGACAATAATTTTGTGATAGCAAGTGGCAGTGTGAACAGCTCATTATTGTCAGAAGTGCTCTCTTGTCTACATCACAAACCCTGCTAGTAGGGGGTAGACATATTTTGTCAGCAACGGTGCTGACAAACAGTGTTTACACTGCCAGGCTTTTAGCAACACGGCCATGTTGCTAAAAGCTGTGATGTGTAGACAAAGCGGTGGGTAGGAGATCTCCTAGCAGCAGGTCTTCTGTAAGAACCATGCACAGGGACAGCTGGGCAGAAGCAGGTGTCTCAGTAAAAAAACCTCCTTGCCTCTGTTGAATCCCGAAAATGTTCAGATTTGTGTGATTGTAGAATATTCATTCTCTAATATCTGAACAGTGCCATACCTGCCCTAAAATGGTATATAGCTTCTCCAGAGGAAGAGTTTGGAAGAAACTGAGGAATGTCTGTTATCTTCAGGGACAATTCCTGCATAGTGAAAATGACACTATTGACAGTGATTCAGATTACCATCTTTCCCTGAATTAGTTTCCAACTCCTGCAAATTTCTACACAGAAGAGAACAACTTTCCTTAATAGAAGCACCCAATATCACTTTCACATTTTCTATCAGCTTGTTTGGGTCTTCATTTTATATCTAGGTTTTAAATATGACTTCTAATAAACTCCACCCTGTGTGAATAGCAATAGTGATACGCAGAAGGAATCAGTATGGATACGGATAAGAGTTGTCTGTCTGGTATTTCAAAATCACACAGTGTTGACACTATTAAACTATTTTGAATTAGAATAACACAAGAAAGCTTCACCTTTTCTCATAATAACTTTAAAATCCATCATTACTATTCCACATAGGTCAATATAATAATATAATAAAAGTGTATTCATGCTGCGATGAGAATCATAACTGAATTCCATAGCTACTTATTTCTTATCCTTATATGTTTGTGTGTGCGCTTGTGCCTATGGCTGTCACTTCATAAATGGCAAATAATCTACTGTTTGTAAAGCTTTACCGTAACAAACACTCTGTAATATAAAAGTAACCTTTATTTTATAAAAGAACAGTACACTAATTACTCCAACTCCATGCTCTATCATAATGACACTGCAGTGTTTATATCCTCACTGTGGAGTAAAATAGTAATTTCATAATTGCAGCAATTGGTTG